TAGAATTAATGTTGTTTTTTTTAAAGAAAATTTATTAAACTATTACTACTACAAAAAATTGTCTAAATTCTGCTTTGAGTACTTTTTTTAAGTAAAAAATTTTTTTAAACTTTTTTTGTGGGCCGAACAGAAGTCACCTGTGAGCCAAATGTGGCCCCGGAGCCATTAGTTGCCCATCACTGAAACAAATGATGGAAATGTGAGAAATTTTCAATAAAATACTTTGTTTTTTCCCTCCTTCATACTTGTCTTTGTGTGTAGGAATGAATTGTTGAATTTTCCATCTGAACACATTTAGTCAGCAGTTCTTCACGTTGAGTCACTGAAATGTTTAATATTATTTAAATCTTAATCACCAGCTTGAGTTAAGTTACAAATTTGTTTTAATTCGTTTATGAATTGAACATATTCCTCATGTCATCTTGCTCCTCTGTGCCTTTTGATTGATCAAGTTGTGTGGTATATTTCATCATGCTGGCCCAGTTTGATCTCTATGGAAGCCCATTTCCGCCACCCTGATAAAGAAAACTTGTATCTCATAACTATGAGATACTATCTCATAATTATGACTTAGCTATCTCATTATTATGACTTACAGTAGCTATCTCATTATTATGACTTACAGTAGCTATCTCATTATTATGAGATACTTTCTCATAATTATGATTTAGCTATCTCATAATTACGAGATAGCTAAGTCATAATTATGAGATAGTATGTCATAATTATGAGATAGCTAAGTCATAATTATGAGATAGTATGTCATAATTATGAGATACAAGTTTTATTTATTTTTTTGTCAGGGTGGCGGAAATGGGCTTCCATAGTTCTCATTGTTCCTGACAGAGGCTGTAAATCACGGTTGAAGATGTGCTCACAGGGGACTCTGCTGCCTGAACTTCACACCTCGGCTGCCAGGACCCCGTGTGTTTGCTCTACACGTTCCAGACCATCAACCATCTGAGCTTTTTACCACTTGTTTCTCTGGACTTTCTCTCCATCGCCCRCTGGCAGAGGCAGAGCAACCATGTTTGTGAGTTTGTCTGTCTGGTTAACAAAATGTTAGGCTGTAGGCCCAATGGCTTACAGATCATAGTAAAACTAACCTTTTGTTTAGTGCAGGGGTCTGCAACCTGAGGCTCTGGGGCCACGTATGGCTCTTTGAAAATGTGACCAAACATAACAGAAAGTGTATTTTTTGTCTGTTTTTTATACCCACAACAGAAATAAAGTTGTGTGCAAATGCAGTATGTGATCAATACTAATACAAAAAGTAAAACATGTTAGCTCATGCTAGCCTGATGTTTACTTAAATATTCCAGTTTCTTTCTATGATCTTTCTTTCAAATCCATCAGAATTATCTTTAAATAATTTGAACACTACATAATAATAAGACTTAGGAAAAATAAAACGCCTGAATAGTTCAGTTGTACTAGTTTTTACGAAATTCGGTATAAACTATATACGGTATTTGTCTTGTTTACACAAATATGGTCATTTTATTTGTCCTGATGTGTATAATAATAAATAACATAATAATAAAAAAATTAGTTTTATAATGTCACCTCCACTGACCGCAAAGATTTCCAAAAAGACCTCGAAAAGGCCCACAGACCACCAATTCATAATGACAGTTGTAGCTTGTTTTGCGGCTCCCGACACATTTTAATCTGGAGACAAGGAGCAGAAACGGCTCTTTTTGGTCGCAAAGGTTGCAGACCCCTGGTTTAGTGGATTAGCCTTTTTTTTTTCACTAACTTTGAAAACTGTCAGTGGACCAATTAATTTCTGCTAAATTAGGTTTTGCCAACTTTAAGTCTGTCGYTATGTTAATCACTGATTTTGTGGAAAGCTTTGATGTAAAGCGCTWTAGAATAAATGAATGAAAAGACATTTTTAGCATTAACTCACCCGCTTCCCCTAGTTTTTTTTTCATACATTTTTTTTTATCCTTAGCAATTTAGCGTTAGCAAAGTTATATTTTTATTTAGAGAATTATGAGTGGGCGAAGCTGTTTTTAATTAGTAGTATGGAGAGCCAACCCATAGAGAAAACTCCGTCCTCTCATTAGCATATCGGACCATGAAATAAAACGACATGAAATAAAAGTGGAGTTCAAAATAAAAGTCCCTGAGATATGCAAAGTAGCTTTACAAAATAAAAGTGTCACAAAATAAAATTACAATAAGTAATAAAATAAACAAATAAATAAATTTAAATATAAATAAATAAATAAATTTAAACAAATAAATAAATAAATAAATAAATAAATGATATGCTAAACTGTA